CCCTTTTTTTTCCTGCATGCAAGATATTTTGCTAATGTAAGGTCATAAACGATAACAAAATGTCTTAATTCATTTTCTAACAACTCGAAGATCGGAACTGAGGGCCTCGTAATGTAACCAACCCTTGCCTATCTCTTCTTTTAATCTGCTTCGTATTGTATTTTTTCGGTATACTTCATCAAAATCTTTATCAATGACGCATTAATTATTTATTGAACTTCATTACATCTTTCTATTAATATTAGTCAGGTGATATAGCATTAATTTAGGGTACCCTTCTCAGGAACAAAGCCACATTTCTGTGGCCATAGACTTCTCTCATTCTTTCCATTAGGGGGAGACCGGACTGCCTCGAAAGTTTAAGAGGCGAAGACCCTGGTTAGAATTCATTTCAAAGGATTGTACGAAGGCGTAACAGAGAAATTAGTCCTTTAAATCCGCCAGTCACACGCACGCAACACCTATAACAACAACAACTAAAACAATAACAAAAAAACAACAACAATGGCAACAACAATAACAACAAAAACAACAACAACAACAACAACAACAACAACAACAAAAACAACAACAACAATAACATCGTTAGCACAGAGACGGTATATTTCCTCTGAACTAGCCCTGTCTGCTGCCTACCTCTTTCTCGTACCTAACTCTCTTGCAACAACAGATCTAGCTGTAGTCACTATTTTTTAAACTCTGAAAATATTGCCAAGTCCTATCAAAACTGTAACAGCTTTGTAAAGTTTAAAAGAAAACATATATTGATTATCATGGGACTAAAAAAACATAATTGCTCTCCACAGCTTTGCCTCGAGATCATAAAAGACTCGAAAACATGGATGAAACAAAAGGATCTGTCGTGAAAACACCTGACAAAACGTCGGAAGTGAAGACAAGAGTTGAGAACGGAAAGACTCCAGATACCACGGACGAAATGTCGGAAGTAAAGACAACAGTTGAGAATGGAAAGACTCCAGATACCACGGACGAAATGTCGGGAGTAAAGACAAGAATTGAGAATGGAAAGACTCCCCACCCCCCAGATGGATCCGAGGACGTTAAAGATACAGCGAAGATAGATTTGAGAGAGGAGTCGCAGGTTGTGGTTGAGGCCGAAAGTCCTGACCACTACGTCATCAAGGACAAAGGCTGTTGGGTTAGGAACGTATCTCGGGTGGAGCTGGCGGTGAGCGCGGTGTGGGCAAAAAACCGCCGCTATGTTCTAAGTGGTTTCAAAATCTTCCTTCTGCTGGTGTACCTAGCTTACTTCATCTACTGCATGACCGTGAGGTAAGTGATTCCGAAGCTAGTTTGTGTTGCATTGGATTCCCCTTGAAAAATGGACGAGATGGTTTCTTTGTTTTCCTGTTTGTATTTTTTAAAGAGTACCAGCGCTTGTGGGTGTGTGGGAGAAAAAAGCTATGATCTCTTTTTCTCTTAAGGTTATAATATTAAACATGTTAAGGCAATTGTTACTTGAGTTTGGTCATAATTACTACTATGTGTAACTAGTTTTATGACTTAATATGTCTGTGTGTGCGTGTCTATGTGCGTGCATGTGTGCTAATGTTTGTGTATGTGTGTGTGTGTGTGTGTGTGTGTGTGTGTGTGTGTGTGTGTGTGTGTGTGTGTGTGTGTATGTTGGGTGTGTGTGTTTGGGTGTGCACACGTGCG